ATAAGAGAGGTTAATTCTTATGGTCTATATAACCTTTATACCTACATACCTACACTGTGTTATTTATAATAAAGAATACAAGTCATGCCCTTTCCCTCACCATATTTCCCCCTTCATCTGCTGTGTTACCGCTTCAAACTTATAACCAGCTTCAAACTTGTTGCTGTCAGAGGACACAAAGAGCATCACGTAGCAGTCATAAGGGTTAATGTTCTGTAGCCGAAAGCCCTGGCTTTGTTTTTTGTGGGTTGTAATTAGAAGATGGGATTAAACTTTACAGATCGTTTGAGGAACAAATGGCCATTCTCATTAGTTTTATCTGTGCTAATTAGACCAGCTTCCCTACAATTCTCCCACCACCACATAAAGATAAGGATTGGGGAGCAGGATTTTGCATTCTCATGGTATCTAGTTTTTGTGCAGTAGGTCAAAAAGAATCAATACCTTGGTCAAAACTGCTTCAGCTTATCTTCTGCTCAGAAATGGTGTATAAATGAGCAGGATCCATAGGGACCAAATGCCCTTTGTTAGAAGTTATCAGTGAGAAATATCTTCTACTGGACTTCTAAAGAACAGCCACCATTTGTTTGCAGAATGGACCGAGAAGCAAATCATAACTGGGGTGGGTTAACTGGGATATAAATATACCGTTGGCACACAACAGTCCCATGGTGCATAAACAGTATGTTTTTTCATCATCACTAGTAGGGATTTTACATCTTCTTTTTTTTGCATTGGGTATGAACTGCTGCTTAGCATGTCACATTTAGCCAGGACTTGGTTTTTACAATTCGAAGGGAACATTTAATTTTCTCCTCCTAGTAAACAGAGCATAATTTAGTGAAAAAATCTAAATGAACATGAGCATTTGTGAAGGTGTCAGATAATTAGCTTGGTAGGATGTAAGCTGATATATTTAGTGACTTTGCAAGCTTCCCAATGCAAAACTAATAGCATATGTTTTTAATTTCAACTGAGTTTTGCTTTAAAATGAAGCTCTTGCTTCCCAATGAATGACCCCTGCAATACAATACTGTGAATGCTTACCTCTCCAATAGGTGTAGAGCAGGGGCTGACTGGCAACTTTTAGCCCAGGGGGCAAGTACAGCCCAGAGGCCCACGGTGCAGCGACTTGGCCCCCCTCCCGCTCTGCCTCTTCCTCCTTCGTGCCCTGTGCTTCCTCTCTGCCCCCCCCCAAACAGGCAGAACGCCAGGGCAATTGCGACCGCTGCAATCCTGGTAGTGGGTAGTGTGAATGGTCGGGTGATGTGAGGACTTACTAGTAAGTCCATGAAAGAAGTGACTGGCTGGGGGATGGTGCTCTCCTCCTGCTGTGCTCCCTACATGGTTCTTTAATTGTATCAGAAAACAGGACAAACAATTACTTAAACATGCTCAGTAAAGTGAGAAATGGTCCAATGTCCACAACTAGAGCAAGTGCTTAAACAGTTAAACCAGTGCGGTATTTATGAAGTCCTCCTCCACCTTCGTGCAGACACGCACCCCACTGTGGGGGGGAGGCTAACCTCAATTTACGACCCAAATGACAGGTCTTACAGTCTGTCCTTTGTATATGTGAGGGATGCCCCACGACTCCTCTAACTCAAATGATATGTCCTCTTATTGTGGGAGCATGACACACAATGTGTGTATAAAGACATACCGTAGTGTAGACTATTTAAAACAGGAGACTTTATTTAAATTTTACTCACAGGTGAAGTTGATCCAGCAGCATTAAAACCTGGGTGAGATCATCCTCGCTGATTTGATGGGGCCCTCCAGGTGCTAGAGCACTGCCTGTAACGTCCTGTCGGCACTCGGCAGCCCTGTACACTGGCCGGAGGAAGCTGCCGAGTGCCGAGGGCACTGTCAAAGCCAGCCAAGGAGCCCTCCTCGGCCCCTGCAGCAAGAGAGCAACCAAGAGGGGAGAAATTAAACAAGTGATCACGGTGGTGGCGGCGGCCGTTTTTAAAGGCATCAGAGAGGCCCGGGGGGCAATTGCCACCCTGCCCCCCCGGCCCAGTCCGCCCCTGGTGTAGAGCTACAATGAAATATGTATATATCAGGGATGCGCAGATACCAAGTACCGTATTTGGTACAAGTACAAGTAGAGATACTTTTCCAGCTACTAGACTAGAGAAAATCTCAAAAGTTAGGAGGCAGCTGTATTTTAAGGCGCATTGGCCACTGGGCTCCTGGGATTTGTGCATCTCTGTTTTAATGTATGATTTGTATATATAGGGATGCACCAATATTTTTTCCAGAAAAAGTACAAGTACCTAAACTTGTCCTCACTGATACCAATTACTGATACCTTTTTGTTTATTATCATGTGATAGTTTTTCTAAAACAATACAGACTAATGATTTCAGGACAGTGGAGGAGCGCCAGAGCAAGGTCCCAGCTTCAACCGCTACAAGCCTGGTAGTTCTCGTGAAAATGGCAAGTATCAGCATCGCTATCTGGAGTGGTATCTGTGCATCCCTAGTATATATATTAGGGAATGATGTGGGATTTAATACCCTTGCCAGTACAGTAAAGCAGGGCTGGACAATCCGAGGAGCCAGATAGAAAATTCTCCTTAAAAATTACAGCTGGCTCCCAACTTTTGAAGCATTGCCTAGTTGTTGTCAATGGAGCTGGCTTCTGGATTGGACAGGCTAGCTCCTGAACATTAATTTGCCCACCCCTCCAGTAAAGCCTTCCTCTTCTAGAAAACCTGTCCTGTAAGGAATATGGAGATTGACAGTGCCAAGGTCACCAGGCAATGCTAGTTGCAAGGCTTTTATGCTGACAATCTTGCTTTAGCACTTTGAATCTCTAACCTGGACCATGCATGCAGGTAAGGACCTCTAACTACTATCTGAACTTCCTGATCTATCTGCTTGGATCATTGTCTGATTAGTTAAATAGAATGTTCAAAAGCAGTTCAACAATGGTAATACTCATATTTGTCTTATTTTCTTTAAAATAAATGAACGAAAGTGGTAGTACCTATCTTCTCTACCCACCCCTGTTGTGGTATATTAGTTGCTCTAATACCCCATTTGTATATTAGTTTATTTTGCATTTCTGACTTTGTTGGCTCTTTTCTTTAAATAAGTAGAGATAATTGTTTTTAAATAATTGACAATTTTTATTAAAGTTTCATATAATAGAGATAAAATATAGGACATCCGATTTAACATCAACATTGGTTGACAGTCCACAGAAGAATATAGAAGATTGTGTAAACATTGGGGGGACTGCTACAGTATAAAGCAGGGTTTTCCTAAATTACAACATGACAGTCCTATATCATTAGGCTAACACATTGTACAGTTTGCTATCTATAACGGCAGTTCACCGTTTACAACGGATATCTGTCTATCTTGACTTGTCTTAACTTTGAGATAATTTTTGATGTTCAGGTTGAACCCCAATGGTTTAGTAAATCTTTATCTGTCTTTATCTTAACCTGTAAATCCTAACTGAATGATATTCAATTTGTTAGGCTACATTAACACTAGGTGTGAATGTGCGTTTAGGGATTCCTGTGGCAGGAACCTACAAATTCCTGTAGCAGGATTCCAAAATATGCCATTTAGAAGCGGCCGCTGTCACCCGTTCAAGTTCATGATCGGGTGACAGCAGCTGCATTTTAAAGCAGCATTTTTGCTGGCACTCCACATGTAATCACATGTGATACGATTACATGCAGTTAGGAATACTGTAGATCACTATCTTTGGACATATGGTCACCCTATAACAAAAACTGCCTGAATAAGAACCTTCCTTGTAGGATTACCAGGTATTTATTTTAACCATTGCTGGGGATTTAAAATAACTGAAAATGATTTTTATTAGGGTTGCACAGATACCAAGTACAGTACTTGGTACAAGTACGAGTACATGTGCCGATACTTTTGAGCTCCAAGACTAGACTGGAGAAAAATAAAAAAATTAGGAGGCAGCTGTCATTTGTAAGGAGCACACGGAGCTCCTGGGATTTGTACTTCTCTGTTTCAATGTATGATTTTGTTTATATAAATATAAATAAAGGGATGCACAGATACCAGTTTTGTGAGTACTGGTACTTGCCGCGTACTTACAAGTACGAGTATTGATACATTTTTGTTTATTGTCATGTGACAGTTTTTCTAAAACAATACAGACTACTGATTTCAGGACAGTGGTGGAGTGCCAGAGCCAGGTCCCAGCTGCAACCGCTGCAACACTGGTAGTTCTCATGAAAATGCCAAGTATCTGCACTGGTACTCGAAAAGTATCTGTGCATCTCTAATTTTTATAGTTAAATGAACATGGTAAAACTTCTAAGAGATTTAAGTGATTAGGTTTACATTTACTTTAATGTTGCCCATGTCCTGGTATAAATTATCCTTTCACAGGACAGAAAAAACTTAACTCCCTTACTGCAACAGGATGTAGGGGAAAATCTTCCCAATGAGTACAAAGACAACCCTTTCCCATTCTATCAAGGATAAAAAAAGTTTTAGTTATCCCGCTTTTTCCCCACCTACCTATGCTTTCCTGAGACCTTTCCCCCACATCTTCTGATGTACCTATGTTAACATGAATATTGGACCCGGAAAAGATCGGTTTCAGTGCCAACTAGAGCCATATACCTCCCTTGCATATCTTTGATGTTACAAATCCAACGGGCCGCCATGTTAGCCTCCAATACCACTAACAACTAACAGTCATGGTAATCACCCACAATGTTCAACGAACCTACTTCAGTATGCACAGGCTGCACTTACTGTGAAACCGAGCGTTACAACCAACGATTGAGGTCCGCTAAAGGAATATGTTGTTACCCTGTACATTGGAACCATATGTATTTTTCACAATATGTTTTGTACCCCTGAAATACTTTATTCTCAATAAAAATATATTTGAAAAAGAAAAAAAAGTTTTAGTTGGAGTTTAGGTTTTTTATGTTTATATTCTATTGTTTTATTGAAAAAAGTTAAAACAAATGTTATTTTTATTCTTTTTAGTATGAATATTTCAATGCGGTTCTTATAAACGAAAAGGATGAAGATGGCAATTTTGTCGAGCTAGGAAAGGAGTTTTTGTTGCTACCCAACGACCATTTTAATAATTTACCTGTCAATGTCACTCTAAGTGATGTCCAAGTGCCAACTAATGTTTACAACAAAGGTACGTTTAAATTGTTTATTTCACATTTTTTTCCTGTGGCAGAAAATTAAAGCTAAACTCTGTGGAACTAAAAAAAACTGCCCTCGCAGTGGGGCTCCCCCTTTATTTTATTGTTTGTTTTTGCCTAGGGTATCAGTTAAAAGGACTTTTATTTATCTTATACTTACCATACATACCAGCTGGTGCTCACCTCTCCTCTTTGACACTCTGGTTTGTGGGCGGACACTCAGTATCCCCACCTACAATACAGGACTACTGATCCTGCATTGTAAATAATGATGTCAATAAAGTCACTGCGCTAAACAACTTACAACTTATACATAAATATACAAAAACAATAAAATGCCTAGTGATAGCCCCAACATAATAAGCGACCTCCCCTATAGTTAAATTCAATACAATCTCAAAAATGCATGTGCACTGTGTTGTGATCCAGATCACATGTGTAACTCCACAAATTGGTCTTGAGGAATTATACAGCTCTGTCTATTAAACCTTGAATCAAACTAAAAGGAGATATTTACTGCAAAGGAGGTTACCATCAGCTGTCCTGGGAGAGCGGCTCGCTAAGGATTTGAATCTGAGTGCAGTTTGACCATTTAATAGTGGTCAAAGGAGTCTGGTGAGTGTATTGATTACACAGAAACACTAAGGATATCACGCTAAGAAATACCTTTTTGGAATGTTGAACATTTGCACTTTATATATTGCTGACATATCCTCTTAAAGAGCTTTTTTTTTTTGGAGACCAATTTGTGGAGTTACTCATGTGATCTGGATCACAACACATTGCACATGCATTTTTGAGATTGTATTGAAGTTAACAATAGGGGAGGTTGCATATTATGTTAGGGCTATCACTAGGCACTTTATTGTTTTTGTATATTTATGTATAAGTTGTAAGTTTTTTAGCGCAGTGACTTTGTCTTGAGATTGTAAAGAGTGACTTTAGGATTCACTTGTTTTCACTGCTACTGACACATTGCAGTGAAGGAAACACCAAAAGCACGGATTTTACACACAATTGCAATGATGTCAATAGCTGAAACTGCCAGCCAGAGTGCCTAGGAGAAAACAGGAATAGAAAGGAGGTCTCCCAATGGGAACACCTGTTATAACTGTCTAAGAGGGGATTTTCCCTCAATTCTCGGAGATTTCCTCTCACTTTCTGTTGTGTTTCTGGGGCAGGAAGTGAAGGGCAATCCTAATGGGATGCAAAAAAAATAATTGGTTTACATATACAGTACATATTGGTTGTCAGCATACTGTCATAGAGTGGACAGATTGCCTCTTACAGCCTTTCCTCCCCCAGTTGTATCTTATGTGGCTCCAACATCTGATTTTGTTTGCATCATACTAGGGTGAGCCAGTTGGCTGGGTCTTCAGTAGGGCAGGACAAGACACTTTTGTCCTGATAATGAAATACCTATAAGAAAACAGTCTAATTCTCATCCCAGGGGGAGTGCGGATAACACTGATCATATTGCACCAGGATGTTCCCCTGTTTACAGTTCCATCCAGAAGGGTGTAAAGACACTTTAACACTCCCATTGCTCCTTTGTCCAACTGGACACAAACAATGTCAGGAAATCTAATCTCTGCAATCAGTTGTGTTAATGTGGTCTGTCTGACATTTCCAATACAAAATGTCACTACAGATTAAGTTGAATATGATCTAATTATTTGTGTAACTTATTCTGTGGATTTTTTTTTAATGTTGAAAATTATCTGTTATGATTTTTGATCAATGATGAGTTTTGTACACAAGTTTATATAAACATTTAGAGATTTTATTTCAATCAGAGATGTTTAAACAGACTTTTGTACTATGACTAGGTTGTCTCATGTTATTATATTTTATTAAAGTAGACCTGAAAATGGTGAGGGTAGAGAGGAAGAGTTCTGACATCATCTAAATGTTCAGACATAACTAATTGACACAAAAATATTCAGCACCGGGCCTTTGGTGATGGTAGTTTTCAGTGCAGAGAGATGCCCTCCCTATAACCCTAACACCCCCTCTAAACCTAATATTAACCTTTCCTGTAATGATAATCCTAACGCTAAACCTTTCTGTAACCCTATCACTAATTCTCAAACTATCTCTCCAGTAACCCAATACTAATCCTTCCTGTAACCTGAGCATTAATCCTCACACTTAACCTTTCTGTAACCTAAAATCTAACACTAACTCTCCTTGTAACCGCATCACTAATACTCACATTAACTATACCTATAACCTAAAAATTAACCTTTCCGGTAATGATAAACGCTTAACCGTTCTCTAACCCTAACACTAAGGGGTTGATTTACTAACCTTATAAACATGCCATGAACAAGTATACACCTCTGTAGTGTGTTACCTCTCAGCATGATCTATTGGTGGAATCTAGACACCTTTTGTAGTGTGTACACACCCAGCATGTGTGTTGTGCAAAGCCCTGCATGAATTGCAAGGTGATGTTGTGTAAATTAGCTCTACATTGTGTTGCTTGCGTTGATAAATGCAGGAATGTAAATGCATGAGCTAACCATTTTTGTCTAAACTGTGAAGCAGCATTATATATGCATCATGTGCATGATTTTTCCATATATGGCATTAGTGGAAATATGCTTTTAGAGACTTTGTGGTTGATAAATACGTTTTGCTATGTAAAAATCACACGCACCTATTGTTTGCGTGTGTTTAGGTTAGTAAATCACCCCCTAATTCTCATACTAACTCTCCCAGTAACCCAACACTAATCCTTCCTGTAATCCTTTATGTAACTCTCCCTATACCCTATCAGAAATCCTCACATTAATCATGCCTTTAACTCAAATATTCTTCCTCACACTAGCCCTCACTCTTACCCAAAATCTAACACTAATCCACTCTCTTTGTAACCCTAATCTTTACAATAAAATTATCTGTATTCTCTGTAAAACTAACCCTCAAATTAATTCTCTATGCAACTCCAAAACCTACTCTCCCTTATGTAAACTTAACACCTTGTTTGCATACAGATCTTTCTTGTGCCGGGATCCTCTGTGCTGAAAGGCACCTTTATCCCAACAATGCAATCTACTATAAAATATTAGATAGCTAAGTTCAAAATTAGGGATTTTAGTGGTATTAGGCTTACACATAAATTAGGCTTACACAGTAGGTATATACAAAACCAAAATGTTTATTCGAATACATTTAAAAAAAATCTGCATATCATAAAAGCATCCAAAATAACACAACAGGACCAAATTAATACATATTGCATTAACCTACAATATTCTCCCTATAATGATGATTTAACAGCAGACATCATGAATTATCAAGATCACACCATAGCTCAGTCCAGTGAATGTAGAGTAGTAGTACATAGGGGACATTCATACGTAGGTTGTAGTGAGGGCATTACAGTGACGCGTTTCACAGATGTGTGTCCGCTTCTTCAGTAATGTGTATAAGCTGTGCAATATGCCAACTGTATCGTAGGATTAATATGTAGATATATGATATGTGGAATACTTTAAATTGTTTTGAATAAACATGTTGGTTTTATAGATATACGTACTCTGTAGGCCTAATTTATGACACTACTAAAATCCCCAGTTTTGTGCTGAGCTATCTTGAATTTGGCCTCTGAGATGCAGTGTCTGATTATTTCCACTATATTGTATTATATTACAGTAAACAAAATATTAATGTATTGTCCAGGTAAAACTGTAATATATTCCCTCCCCCCTGCACCAAGGTCTTCCGGCTAAGACTGCTATGCTCCTACTGGGAGGCCAATGAGTGGAAGCATGTAGAACAGCTGATTTCCAGGTCAAGTGACCATTCTATTGCCAAATAAAGCAACAGAATAAAGTCATGAGCTATGAGAAGCCCTGGGTGAAACTTTAGATAGTAGAGGCCATGCTTTCATGGTGTCACCTTACAAGGGGTACCAGACCATTATTGGAGGATGGGTGGGCCAAGAAACAAAGGGAAAGGGCTGGATTTTTCTTTAATCCTTTCCTGGCATTTCTGTTTAAATATTAGATTGTCCCACCGGATTCTTGTGTCAATCTTCAGTTACATTGCTGTTATGTTCAAATCTCGACAACAGGATGAGTTTATCCTGCAAAATCAGCCAGCTGCGAATCATAATCGTATTTCTTTTCAGCCGCCGTTGGTGTTTTTTTTTCCTTTTTGCAAAGCTCTAATTTTCTAGAAAATAGGTAAACTCGGCTCAACAGCCATTTGGAAAGGTTTGATAGGGGAGTGTGACGGAATGATATTCATAGATCCTTTTAACTGGCAAATTGAAAAACCTACCTAATCAAAAGATGTCTGTGGTTCATCATGTTTCAATATCTTCCCGAGCAGGCTCTATATAGATGGAGGAATCAAACCCCAGCCCAGCTTAGGTTCTTATTATTGTGTGCATTTATCAACTGCTGGTAAAAGCGCTCGTCTCTTGGCGTGCCAGAGAGGTGCAATGTGGAGAACTCTTCCTGACACAGCTGACACATCCTTTTCCTTTTCACTTGTAAAGATTCCTCCAGCTGAATAATTTTCAGCCCAAGATGTTAAATGATTTTCGAGCTGCGGTTTGAAATATTGGGTCTTTCTCTTGAATAACTGTTTTGCTAAGTCGAAGCGAGGGTGCCCTCTGTATTATTGATTGCCCGAATCTTGCTACGAATTCAGAATAAATGTTTTGTTATTTAAAATAAATGCATGTTTGAAATCGCTTCTTTCATTTTTTTTTAGTCTTAGCATTAGTTTTTTTTTGCAAAGCATGTGTTCTTTTTTAAATTTTAATACGCTTCCTTCTTTTTGCTCATGAGTGCTTAAGCTTCAACATTAATTTTTAAATATTAATGTGCAGATATAGAAATCATTCATCTTGATTTTTACATTAAGGAGGATAATTATATAGTGTTTAAATATTTATAAGGTATTTAGAATATTAGAGTTATCACCATAGTTAAAGTGAACCTGTATTAAAAACAAAGCACTATGCGGTCAGGATACT